GTTCTCTATAATATTATGCAATTCCACTTAAAAGTATTCCAAGTATTCAGAATATAGTACTCTGATTGGATCATGTGTAACAGAATTTACAAAATACACTTCAATTCAAGTATTCAGTATTGTGTAACTAAATACATTTTCAAAGTATTCTTCCCATAACTGGATTTGACACAGTATTAAACTACATGAAACATGTGAGCCACGTTGAACAGAACATTAGACTTGCATATAACGGTCATGTATGTCGGCTCCAGTATTGGTATCAGCTGATATGCGATTCTTCAGTATTTGTTTTGGCTGATACAGAGTTAAATACATTTTGTTGTTGTTTTTTTTTACCAAGGATCTGACCTGTAACTTGGCCTTATGGTATCAACTGCTTGTCGCCATGGAAACAGACAAGTTTAATGTTACACAGAGGCCTTAAGGCTTCAGAAAAGTTGCACAGTTCACCTTCAGTCCATCAAAAATATGACAACACAATTCCATAAAATGTTTGACATTTCAAAAGTTCAAGACCAACTTCCACCCTCAAGAGTAGTAAAGTAGTAGAAGGAACCCACATGACCCTCTCTTCTGAACTATTCCAATACTATGAAACTATTAATATACACAATTATAAGACTTGATTTGGAACATCAGCCTATTAGTGTATTTGACATTCACACAGTTACAGGGCTGATCTTCATGTTTCTTTTTATTGTTTTGAAAATGCAATATGTGAGAGACATGATTAATTCATTTACAGTTATACATGATTGTTGTGAATTAATGTACACTTTAATTGTTTTGAGGTTCACTGTTGCCCCCTATTGTTGTTATAGCATTTTTGTTTTAAATTCTGAACATTGTTGTTTTTACAAGGTGCATTTGAACGCCCCGCACTGTTTTGGTACGTGTGCCTTCAACTAGACTGGAGTGTGTGTTTTTTTACCGCAGCGAGGCCCAGGATGAGAGCGGGGGCTGTTGTAGCCGTTTTAACTTTTTTATTTATGTTTTTTTGTGTGGCTTCATAATAAGTATCCCCTGTGGTAAAGACACCCTAAATTGCTTTTGTACATCTGCAACATATATATGCTAAGAACTTTTTCTTTTAAGTTTCAGTTTCATTTTTGATGCTATGTGTCCCTCCGTCTTGCTCCCCGTGCTAAGACACTCCCCCTTCAGAGTGCCAGCTTAACAAAATCTGCCTGCATTTCGCTAATGAAACTACTGCACATTGCTTCAGGTTTGTCAGTTTGTAGAGTATTAGTGTATTTTTTTTTGTATCGTGCATCATCATTTATGGAGAATTGTCATGTGGGAGCAAGAGTAACGTCGGCTTATGGGCTGGACATTGGACAAAATTGTTGTTCTAAATGTAAAGAGGGTTCAAATAGAGCCCAGGAGAGGTCGCATGCATGGGTGACATATAAAACCATTTCAGGCATGTTTTCAATGAGGGAACTACATTGTAACATAGCAGAAAGCTCAAAAAAGTCGATTTTGCATAATACCATCTTTTTTATAAATCTGCATTGTTTACGTTGAGGAAATAAAGAAACTCCCCCCTAATGGCCTGAGCCTGAGATCTCATAACCTGCGCTTGTAGCTGGACTGTGAATAGTAATGAGGGCGTTTTGCTCTGATTGCACATTTCCACACAGCAGCACAAAATGACACGAGCATCAGACCAGCTCTCATTTACAACGTGTCCGGTTTTCCATTCATCACAGACATTCAAGCCATCAATGTGATTACACAATTTCTGCTGATTTTCATATTTCGCATTTGCTCATTTAATAGCAGTTTGGAAGTATTACCTAGTTTTACACAAAATATTCTCCCCCAAAGATGAAACAGCAAAAGTGAAATTCAAGTCTGCTTCAGGATACTCTTGGCCTTGTAGTCTATAAATCTAATTAATGAGTGTAAGCTAATACAGTGGCTGTAGTTATAGGCAAGACTGTAAAGATGCGACTAATCAGAGGGTCCATGGTCATATTAGATGATTTTGTTGTTTACATGACATTTTGATAGTTGGTGGCTGAGTTGCTGAGTGGCTTCGCTTCAGAGCAAGAAAGTTCCAGGTTCAATCCCCAATTTGCTGGTCCTTCCTGTTTCTTCCTGTGTCTGAGTGGCTTTCTTCTGGGCACTCCAGTTTTCCACAACGTCTTTCCATGAAAGACATTATTGCCCTTCTTCCTATGGGATCTGGCGCATTACATACATCACAACCAAATAGCAGTGATTGGTTAAATAAAAAAAGTACCCGCCTACCGTCGAGCGAACGAATCCTAATGCTGCAAGGTCAGACGGTTTCCACGAAGTGAAATTGGCTGATGAATCAGGCTAGTCCTGACCAAACCTACCAAAAAGATCATGGAGATGGGTCCTCGAGTTCTACACTGTGAGATGGCCCAGCTGCATTTAAGTATGAGTCAAATGCAGAGGATAAATTTTCCCATGGGGGCAATTAAGCGCACCTTAAGCTTATTATAACTCCAAAAATCTGATATGAATCTGATTTTGAGTACACATGTAACCACAGTCAGTGTATATTGAGCTTTCAGTAATCCAATAGGCACTCTACACTTACCTCTTTTCAGAAACCTCTTAAGATTTTAGAACTAATGTGCACTTTTTAGCCAGGTTGGCGCTACCTAGTGCCTCCATTCAATTTCATTTCTCTCCAGCAACTAGGGCAGGAATCAGGATACACTAGACAGGGATTAGTTAAATTAAAAAAGTACCTGCATACCGTCGAGCAAACGAATCCTAATGCTGCGAGATCAGACAGTTTCCACGAAGTGAAACTGGCCAATGAATCAGGCTACATTTTCTTAACTTTTGAAGCCTGAAAAAATGCTTAAAAATCTTTTGAAATTTGATGATGGACTGATCACAGTTTAACCAAATTGCAACTCATAAAGACAGTTATTTAAGTGATAAAATTTCCTTCGCAGAAACTAGAAAAAAAATCCTCATGGGGTCTTCTGATGTCATGAAATCCTTGTATTAGTTTAGCAGTTCATATTTCAGTTTTTATTTCCTGCTGTTTACAATGTGCACTGTGACCTAATTTCAAAATATACATACACATTATAATACATACATCTAAATTTGTTTCCCAAAACTCTGCCCTATTCACACCAAACAATATTACCAATCCTCAGACTTTTTTTTTCCCTCTTGCTTGCAGACAGACAAACCCTCAGAAGAAGAAAAAACAAAAAACAAAACAGTTTTGCCCCACTTCTGAAAGGGTGGAGAAAATGTTCCTTTGGCCTGAACTTTGCTTATTGATTCCCTATACATTTCCTGCGGGCCCAGTATATTGATTATGTGTAGTTAAAGGCAGCTAAGGAGGCGTTTGGGGCCCAATTAGATGAAGGTCACTGCAGTGTTGTAATAGCTCAGTTAAAGGGTCTTAATGAGCAACTTCATGTGAAGCACTTCTCTACTGAAATAACAAGATGTACGTGCCTATGTATACACCGATCAATACACAAGTGTATGTAGTAAGGAAAGGTCACTCTGTTCTTTAGTTCAGTGAAGTCCTACTGACATTTTAATTACACCCCAAAAAGTACTTTACAATTCTATGGTCACTTTTATTGGCTGTCCAAGGTAAGTTACAAAGATGAAAGTTTTTACATGTACACCAAAAATCTAATCAGATTATTGCAATATAATGTAAAGTAGTATTTATTTTTATTCTATTTTATTTTTTATTTTCTCATCTGATTTCAGACCTGTGCAGGTTTTGACAAGGAAACAGTGGTGGAAGAAATACTCAGTTGAATTATTTAAGTAGAAGTACAGAAGCAAAAAAAAAAAAAATCTAATAAAAGTATCATATGAAAAAAATCTACATAAGTAAAAGTATTAAACATTTACTTAAAGAATAAAAATGAAGGTATTTTGCACAGATATTGAGGATTCAAATGTAGTGATTTTTATAAAGATTTATGCTGAATTTTGTTCACCAGAAACAATTAAATCCATCATTTTTTCCTAGCTATTTTTATTTGTATAATTTTGTTTGCTCAGATTAAAAACTTGTTAAGAATAAACCTTCAGGCTTTTCAGCAGGTCTATAATAAAATAAAAAAGCTATAATAAAAAGCACATTTACTTTTCAATCCAGTTCAAAAGTTCAAATGTAGTTAAGTAAAAGTACAAACTTTATGTAAAATGTAAAATCTGTACTTCACTTAAATTCAGTGCTTAATTACTTTTCACTTTTACCTTTTACCTTCCACCACTGCGAGGAACTTTATGCAAGACAAGGACAAACTATTGTGGCAAAGACAAAAATGTTAAATTTTGCAAGAAATATAAAAAAAATCTTTTTTTTTTATTTTGCAAATACAACATGTAAAAACACACCAAAAATCCAATTATTGTGTTTTCTGATTATTCTGGTAATCTGATTTTACTGCCATGTAAATGTAGCCAGTGGCATTGCTCACTTCTGTAATCACTTGATTTGATTCGATAGTGTTGTATCAATCAAATACTTTTCTCAATAACTTTATAAATAATAAAATACCTTATAATATCAGACATTTTTGGCAACATCTGAGACAACCACAAACTCACACCTAACCCTAAATTAAATATAATCTGCTATCAGAGATGGGTAGACAGATATAGCCAAAAGTTTTACTCAAGTAAGAGTAACATTACTGAAGAATAATATTACTCAAGTAAAAGTACAAAGTAGTGGTCCAAGAAATTACTCAAGCAGGAGTAAAGAAGTATTTGGGAAAACTACTGTTCAAGTAAGAGGATCTTAAAGAGCACCTGTTGGGACGTGACATCTGATTTGTAATTTGAAGGACAAAACATTAAAAAAATGCATAAAATCTGGTGTTTTCAAAGGAAAGACTCAAAAATTAGACAAATTCAATCATATCTGAACGAGCAGAGCAAGAAAAACAAATGTTCAAATCATTTCATATTATCAACATGAAGCTTTCGTCTCTTATAGACTCACAGTGAAAAGAGCCACCAAAACTTTTACTTAAGAATACTTTTACTTCATTAAAAACTCAAGTAGGAGTAAAAGTACAGTGCTTTTTTTTTTTTTTTTTAAGTTACTCAGGTAACTCTAACTGAGAAAATGTAACTGCACTCATAACATTGTAGTTAATAATTTAGGTTTAATGCATGAAAATAATCAAACTCTCTCTGCTTTCCTGACCATTTTGGCTTTAAAGGTGCATTGTGCAACTTCTCTGGTGGAAGTTCTGAAATATTTGTCTCCATGGAGATGTCACTGCTTTGTTTGGAATGTTTCACAGTATGGCATTAAACCTTCCTAATGTTCATGGAGGCAAAACCAGACCAAGTACAGGTAATTTTTAAAAAATGTAATATTTTTATTTTTATTTAATAAATGCAAGTTAGAGCAGTTTAATGTTATACTGTGGAACATTCCAGGCAGAGCAATGACATAACAGACCCCCAGCCTAAAAGTTAGTGCACCAAATAATTCTGAAGTAATGTGAATTGCATTTGGAGTTGGATTTGTACATTTACAAACATGAGTCCCAGGCCGTCTCCAGGTCATACGTATCCAGAAAGTCCGTGGAAAAGACACTAGGGGGCGTGGGCGAGGCTAACTTGGGTAAATCCTTGGTGGTGTTTTCCTCCATAGTGAGGTCCAGCCAGTCCATCCCCTCCGGCTCTGCATCCAGCGTGTCCATGGGGGAGGGCGGGTGGTCCAAAATACTGGCCGTGCACAGCATCTGACTGTGAAGGTCATCGATCAGAGTCAGCGGCCCGCCAGGCTCCACTCCGAGAAGAGGCTTTCCTGTAGTGCTTTCCAAAAAGTCCTCCAGTCGGCCGGTCTTTCTCTGCTCCGCTGGGCCCAGAGACGTATGAGGTGCTGAGGGTGCAGTATTCTTGGGGTCAAGGCAGGGGGCAGCGGTGGGTGACGGCAGAGGGAGGAGGGGTGAGGATGAGGAAGAGCGGTGCAGGTGGTCCAACGCTGGATCAGGAGATGGTTTGAATCTGGAAATGTCTGGAAAATAATTATTACGTGTTAGAGATTGTGTAAAGTATAAAGGTGTAGCTAAGTGGCGGTACATGTTACCTCCTTTCTTCAGTATGATGTCAATGAAGTCTTCAGCTTCTGTGTCCTGTATTGAAGAAAAATATGATATTGATACTGATTCTTTTTAAGTTTAAAATCTTCAGTGATATATTTTGTGTTTCTTTCAGTATAATTTTGTAACATACTTTGGTGTCAGATGAGGATTCAAACGGAGAGACAGGACTGAAAAGGAAATCCAGACTGGAGCATATTTTCTGTTGAGAAATTAGAGAAATATAATTGTAATATCATGATTGTAATGTGAATATCTGTTGTATTGTGTCTCACGTTTAGAGTAGAAGCTGAGTCCCCGGTAGTGTCTGGGCTCTCAGTCTCAGTCTCAGTCTCACACGGCCTCTCCCTGAGCTGCTGCTGGTGCTGCTGGTGCTGCTGGTGCTGCTGGTGCTGTGGTGCTCCTCTGCTCTGCTGAAGTCCTGCGCTCTGAGCCTGGAGTTATGAAAACACAGTGACAGTGTTTGTATGAGCCTCACACAGCTCCATCTCTGTTCCTCAGACTGTTTGTTCTAATGACATCTTTCACACGCGGCTGCACAAACATCCTCCTCACACACTCACACATGAAGAGGAGCAGAGAGACTTTGCTCTGCTAAAGCTCACTATTAATAGTGTGATGGAGATCCTGGAGAGCTCCGCTGAAGGCTGCTGATGGCAGCACTATACAGTAAACAGCACACTCTGCTCCACTAAAGCTCCATATTATTCACACAGCGCACCTGCACGCACACACAACACGTCTCAATTAGCCCTTTGCATGAAGCCTATTAAGCACATAAATCATTGTAATGGTGCATGTCCTCAAACTAATTAGCAAAACAATAATAATGTGCATGAGGCTGCTGTCAGACTGTTATCAGAACTGCAGTCTGTGCAGTCTCAAACAGAATACTTTATTGTGACGCTCTAGGACTTTGACTGTGACTGACTGCTCTGCTGCTGCTCTGAGCCTGAGGTTTGATACACAAAATACTGTGACAGGATCATAGAACACAAGATGAACACAACTCTGCAGCAGCCTCGACTTCTCTGCTTTTACTTTTGGAAGAGTGTCAGCTGCACTCTGTAAAGCCTCATATTCTTTCATCTCCATTTGAGCCGTCTCTGCAGAGGATCAGAACAAACATGTGTCTGACTAAATGTGTGTAAATGCCCCTGTTGAGTTTGTCTAATGCAAACTCATTTCATCAGGTTGATTTCCCATTGTGTGAGGCAACAGAATCTTTATGTAAATCTCACCTTTGTGCTGGGCTGTGTGATGGCTCTGGCTTCATTATCAGCACGAGGCAGCTGAACAGAGCCGTGTCCTGGGAGCTTGGAGGGAGACCACTGTAATCTCTGAGGGGAGATCAGAACAAAAATCAACCGCAATGAAATTTAACAGTCTAATCACCAAATAATAAACAAAATAAACCTACAGTACCTGCAGTGTGATGTGTTTAGATGTGTTCCCATGGGCTTGGCTTTCGGCGACGTGGTTGGTCAGTGTGATCAGGAAGTAGTTTCCGTTGCTGTCAGTGACTATCGCTGGTGTGGAGTTGTTCTTCAGATCAAATGGAAGTAAGTGATTGAGCTTCTGTTCAGAACACACTGGAGAGACCTGTGAATGAGAAAACAGAGGGACACTTTTTAATGAATATTGGACTGGAAGGCACCAAGAATATTATATGATGGGTTCAGCAAACTGATCTTTTTACAGGGCATTATTCTGGCTGTATACTTAGTTATAAAGGTGATGTAATGAATTTTCTGGCTTTCAAGATTATTAATGGAATACTTTCACATTCTCATCAGATTAGCAGGATAACTTGCTCTAAACTTGCTCTAAAATCTATATATATGGGTTTTTTGCCAAGTTATACTAAAATAAATAAATATGTGAAGATATTACAGTGGACAGTGGGTTGTGGGTGAATAGTACAGACAAGACTTCACAAATGAGGTGAAAACTTCACCAGAGGCCACTTCTGAGTTTATAAAGATATGTCTTTGTGTCTCCACACTAACCTTCAAGCCAGAGCCTGTATAAAAACAGTGGACTAAGTCAGTGTGTGTGTTCAGTGCTCAAGCTCGCGATCCTAGTGATTACAGGAGCTAATCTGGAGCCAGGTTCTATGTTATGAAAAGGATTTTTTTGACTGACAAAACAGTGAGAAAATAAAACAGGATCATGTAGAGCGGGTTGATACGAACATTTTAACACCAAAATGACGAGGCTCACTGCAGCAGTCACAGAGAGAGGGACAACAATATTCCAATGTAAGTCAATGGGAGCCAGAGTCAGAAGGAGCCAGAAGAGCCACATGCAAACTTCCTATTTGGACCGCGGCGGCTAGTGCATTAGACATGTCGATTTATATATACAGTCTATGGTTCAACCTAATTTTGAGGCATAATATAAGAAATATTTAAATAACACCACAAACTCGAGTAATCTACATATAAAAACTATTGGGTAGTCAACTTTTGACTGGCTGTGTTTAATTGTTCATGTTTGAATAAAAGTAAGCAGTTTTGAGACTAGTTATTCTTCTAATAGTCTACCTAAAGACTGTATGTATAAATGAACATAGCTCACCCACTAGCTGCTGCCTTCCAAATAGGAAGTGTTCATGGGGGCAACTCTGACTCCATTCATTTGTCTTTATATTTGAAAATATCTCTGTGACTACTGCAGTGAGCTTTGTCTTTTTGTTCTTAAAATCTTCGTAAGTAAATGAGTTTTATTCATTCACTCCGTACCCGGTGGTGGTCAGCTACTATTGTAGCCACAGGTGCTCTGGGACTGACTGACTGAAGCACGGCTGCCAATCGGCATCGGTCCCTCCGACCACCACCATCTCTCACGCACACACCACTTTCATACTAGGCAAAGTGGGTGAAATGTCTTGCCTGAGGACACAACGACCAGGTCTCCCATCCAAGTACCAACCAGACCCGGGCTTGCTTAGCTTCTGAGATCTGACGGGATGGCCACAGGTTCATATTAACCTGCTCTCCTGATATTTTTATTTCACTATTTTGTACATAAATACTAAATAGTTTCCTATTCCTAATATGGACCTGGCTCCATATTTGCCCCTATAATAGGTCGACCAGATTCTCAAAATAAAAAACCGAGTCATATCCCTGGTTTGAAGTGGTAGGTAATAATAAAATTGTGAAATGAGTCTGTAATTAAGGGAAATTGTTATGCACTCGGCACTGATGTGAGTCAGTATAGTCACATTTTCCATGTGTTTGTGTCATTTTTAAGCTGCTTTTTTGTATTTTACCTAAACAAAGGAGAATTTATGCTGCTCTTTACTGCTGGAAGGTATAAAATTGGTCAAAAATAGGGACACCTGAGACATTTCTTGTATAAAACTGGGACAAATCACTGGTTTTGGATAAATCTGCTGGGACAGGTGACACAGGGCTCAAAACTGGGACTGTCCCGGGTAAATAGGGGCATCTGGTCATCCTACTCTATAACAACTAGAATTGTGAGCTTCATTTGACTGGAGTCGAACGCTATGGGCGACGTCACACTCTTAGTCCACTTCTTTATACAGTCTGTGAGTCCACCAGCTCATCACTGATCTCCGTTGTTTTTGTTTACCTGTGCAGTTTCCTGTTTTGGCTGTTGTAGCTCTATCTTGGTGTGGACTTGAATGTGCTGTTGGTCTGTGGGCTGCCGTTGCTGAGATAAGTCTTTGCTGAGTCTTATCTCTTGCTTTAGCTGAATCTGTTGTGAATCCTGCTCCGCTCTTAGCTGCTGTCGGGAGGCTTTCTTCTTCCTCTCCTGACACACTTTTTCCTGCTTGTGGCGGTTCTCTCCTCTCTGATCGTGCATCTGAACTGCCTGCGGTTGACTGCGCAGTTTGCTCTGTTGTTGAAGCAAAAGCCTGTGAACTGCCTGTTGATGTCGGCCATTTTGTTCTCCGTTAGTTAACTTCGGGCTGAGTTGTCCCGAAGTTTCCAGATTATCGTCATCCACAACTTCTTCCTTAACCTTAACATGAAATTCACCTGTGGACAATGGCTGCTTTTCAGACTGACTTTTATCTGGGGGCGCTACTCTCAAATGAAGAATCGTTTCAGTGTTCATTTGCTCTTCGCTCCTCCTCATTTCCAGCTTCATTTTTAGCATGTCCACTAAACGCTGGTTGTGCAACAGCAGCCGTTTAAGCTCCTCGATTTGACGGTCCTTCTGACGCAACATGGAGTCTTTATCCACCAACATGACAGGCGGAGTTGGTGTTTTTGGCGTTGAAGCGGGAATCACGAACTGGCATTTCTGTACGTGAATGGATGCTGGGATTGGGCTCAGCTGCTCTTCTTTGATGCTGATGTTTAGTTGTGGAGTAGGGGCAGGTTGAAGGTCAGGCTGGATAGAGAAATAGCAAAAGCGAGTTAAGAGTTGAACGTGATTGGAATGTGTGTAAAATGTAAAATAGCCAGGTTTACCAATTCTGTTTTAAACACTTTTGTCTCGGTGATAAGAGTGGAGTTTTCAAGGGGAGTTAAGGACACAGATTTGGAACAGTTGTCTGCAGAATTCTTAATCTGAAACGTGGAACTGTTGGACTTGACAGCTACAGAGAAAAAAGAAAAAAAAAGGTACTGTATGTCATATCATATTATATCACTTTTTTTTATTTACACTACCAGTCAAAAGTTTGGACATACTCTCTCATTCAGTGTTTTTTCTTTGTTTACTACTTTCTACATTTCATATACATATGGAAGAGATTAACAGTGTAGTCAAGACCACACTAATTGAGACCAAGACCTGTCCGAGACTACAGGGTCCGTAGACCAAGTCAAGATCAAGACCTCTGAGGGTCGAGACCAAGACAGGACTAAGACTTCTAAAGGTCCAGACTAAGACAAGACCAAGACCACGGCCCATCAAGACCAAATCAAGACCACCTCATTTTTTATATTTATTTGTATTTTACAGTTATTTTGGCACATATATATCAGTGTTTTTGGAAATCTATCTCCATTTTATCTGATAAATTGTACTGTACTGCACTTAAACACTCTGTGCCCCTAAAAAATCAAGACCGGTCTCGAAATTTACAACACTAGAGATCAAATATACGATGCAAGATATATGGAATTATGAAGTCAAGAAAAAGTTGAATAACTTTTTTTTAATATTCAGATCCTCAAAGTAGCCTAATTAACTTTGTTGACTTCAAGAAGTCTCCTGAAATGGTTTTCAATTCTCAGGTGTGCCATGTCAGGGTCAAGAAATGCCAAGAATGCAAACCAGAGTTCAAAGCAAAGGTTGGATATTTTTTATTTTTAAAATCTAAAGCAAGTTTCAAGTTTGTTATGGAAAACTTTACAGCCTTTTACCTAAGTGTTCATTTAACTGTTTGCTTTGCCTTAACCACAGTCCTGTGTGACAGTGTCCCAGCCTTGAGTTTATTTTTTATTTACTACATTCCATATGAGTTCATTCATAGTTCTGATACATTCAGTGAAAATCTAGCAAATAATCATTGCAATAAAACATAGTGTGTACAATGTATGTGCGAGACTGAATTACATCATAGCCCATTGGGAAAACAGCACCAACATGAGTAGAAAAACTTTCCAATCTACAATATGATTTTAATCACTACACTTAAGCTTGGCGACTCAAATCATGTTGATGGTTGGGGTGGCCGTGCCTTAGTTGAACCAGATACCCAGTAACATGAAGGTTGGAAGATCAAATACACTTACTAGCATATTATACTGTTGTTGTGTCATTGGGCAAGACACTTCATTTATGTATGTATATGAATATGTGTGTGTATGGATTTCTTGATGTACATAAAGTAGCTTGAGTAGAGGAAATAAAATGACATGCATGGACAGATATCAGTGCTGAAGAAATCACTTTTATTTATTTTAGCAGTTCTGTCTTTTACCATTCTGTCCAACAAACATAGACAGCTGCTCACCCAGTACCAGATGACCATTCACAGCTGTTTTTGAAGCCTTCACTGCTCCCTCCGCCCCCGTCTCTCTGGCCCCCCCTGCAGGCTGAGCGCGTGCACTGCCCCCCGCCTGGTGCGCCCTCAGCCTCTCGATCAGGTCACTCTTGGTGCCAGACACGGGGAGGCCTCTCAGCTTCAGCTCTGCTTTGAGTTCAGCGACCTGACAGGAGACAAAGTGGAGAGAGATTGAAGGTGAAGGAGTGAATGGGGGCGCAGAGGTGAGGATAATGCAAGCGGAGGAAAGAAAAGGATCATGGGAAACGGCGGAGAAAACTGTAAGACGGAGCTATCCATCACTGTCGCGGAAGTGCTTTTCACTGTCGACAGCTTTCTTCAGAAACATCAGCTCTGGTTTATTTGTGCGCAACTGTATTTGAGAGCTTATGGAGACTATCAATAATATATCTATTTTATTATTTCTCATTTTTGGAATCATCACACCTTGTAATAGTGTTTTCACAATAGTAAACTTTCAAACTCGATTTCGATACTAAAAAATATTTACTCAGTACTGATTTTGATAGCTAAATGATCATGTTAATATCAATCTTTAACACAAATTCAAAGTATTTGTTTATTAGTTAAGTGATCTTAGACTATTTCTCATAAAACTCAAGATCAAACTGTTCAGGAAAGGTTTTTTTTTTCCATGATCGATTGTTGCAAGTTTTGATACTAGTTTTAGTATCGATTAGTATTAGATACGTTTGTCAATACCTTTATGAAATTAACAGAAATTATTAAGCTTATCAAATGATTGCTAATGTTTCAAATTCAGATGGTAGATGGTTGTATTTACTTCTGAGGCATCTTCTATGTAGATAAAAGTACAGTCATTGCAAAAACGTTTTTGTTTACATCCAGTTTTTCAGCATGTGCGCAGTGGCTGGAAGGCAAAAAGTCAGTCTAGCCGCTCATTAGTGTTGACAGTTGCGTTGCGTATGTCTGTCATGAGATAGCTCGTCTTATTTTGAAGTAAGTTTTGCATTTAATTGTTTTGACATGACTTCATCATCTTACTCTAAGTCACTGAATGGATCCAAACCATTACTCTGAAAAGTTAAAACTCGCCGATAACTTGACAGTGTTGATGCTGACTTGTTGATACAGAAGCTTTTTGCCTATCAAAAATGCATCATGTTTTCTCATATAATATGTCCCTATCTACTTAAAGTTACTTTTTCTACCATTTTGCTCCTACTAAAAGAATACATTTAAGTCTATATGTTTCAAATATGAAAAAGATATACCTTCAGTTCATCCAGGTTTTGGGGCAGACTGGCAGACTTGGTGCTCTCCTCTGCTGGTGCTGTGAGATTGGTGATCAAAGTTTCGCCCGCAGGTAGTACTGAAGTTGACTTGGATTGGTCCTGATCTGTCTGCCTATAAAGAAAACATAAATATAGTCCATTACAAGGATTTCGATCATTCTTCCTTGTGGATTACTTACAGGGTTGGTTGGGTGTGGCCCGTGGTCTGGTGCCTCTGCTGCTGGCTGAGGATCTGCAGGTGGAGGAAGAGCTGCTGCTGCTGGAGGAGTTTGGCATAAGAGGAGTCCAGTTTAGGAGGAGCCTCTTTCTCCCCCTTCTGGTCTGGAGGGACGTACTCATGGTACTTCAGCTTTTTCATCTGAATAACCGACATTAACAACATTATAGCACAGAACATAGTGTAAAATAGCATAATATGGGCCCTTTAAAGCTGCAGTTCTCAAATTTGACTACTATATCTGTGTAACTCTAGATGGAAAACTTGTACCCTTGCCAAATCAAAGAAAGAAAACCTCAAACATTTTTTCTAAACTTGGGACCTGTTTACACGAGACCGCTTGCAGGTAAAAATGACAAAATATTTTATCGGAAGTGCCTTTTGTTTAGACAGTGATGGCATTTTTTGGGTTTAAAAATGCAAAAATCTGAAACCACCCTCCAGAAAGGAAAAGTTGAACACACTCCGCCGTAGCGTTTCCGTCTACACTGCCCAAGACACAAAACTCTGGTCAGATCTGCTCACGTTGCGTACACGTTTACATCATCACCATCTAGCGTCACCTCTTAGTCGCCTGGCATGCATACCCATTTGAATTCCACACACTTTCACGTCAACGTATGCATGCAGATTTGCTCCCGAAAACGCTCGTCTAAACGCGGAATAAAAAGTGAAGACAGTATATATCCAAATGACATACCTTTGGCTTATCATCTTTGGGTTTCTTGTGTTTTTGGAGGCAATGCTCAGAGATTATCTTCTGCTTATTCTGCGAAAGATTAACAAATTCATCTGCCATTTTGAATTTTTCCTCACCCTTATGCGACACATTATTATAGTAAATTCCAATACCTCAGCAGTTATGATCTTGACACACGTAGACAGCGGTGCGGTCGGCTTCAGAGGCGAGTCAGTAGAATCCTATACATAATATAGTGTGTGAGAAGCAGTCATGACTACATAGTGCACAGACAAACTGTTGTTACCTGTACATCAGAGGGGGCCAGTGTGAGCGTGAGGGTCCCAGGGGGCAGAGGGGAGTCCGGGCTGTCAATACTGTCCTCGTCAGCGGAGGACAGGTCATCTGAGGCCTTTGAAAAATCTGGAACTGAAATAGAAACTTTGATTGAAGATTTAACTAAGCAAGACACATTTTGCGTACATTATAGCAAGCTTTAGACTCTGTGTGTACTGACAGTCATTGGTTTATATTTGCTAGTGGGTTATCATCATGAGTTTTGAGTGAGTATTGAGCGAAAGTATGTGTTTTAGCCGTAAGTCCTATTCGCACGAGATTAGCGTTACCTGTGGACCTTTGGTGATAATAATTGCGGAGGATGCCTGAGATCTTAATTCCGTGCAAATACACCATGTCTGTAATAGTAAAGTCAAAATTACGCCACAAATTTCCTACTATATTTTGCCAAACACAGACGTCCGGTGATAATACAAGTCCTGTACAAATCTGCATCTCAGTCTTTGTTATTGTAATTGCACGCCTTTTCTGTCTCTTTCTTTTCTTTCCGTGTTCTTTTCTCTCTGAATCTCAGTAAATGTTAGTAAAACAGAGTAATTTATGGACTTGCAAGTAACAACCATATTTTAAAAGTCACAAACCTCTGCGACCCAAGTCAATAGACATTATTGGTAAATCACAAAATAAAGGTGGATTTGACCATTACTGAACATTAATAAGGATATTTTATTGCTGACTGAATGATTGTGTCTCTCTGAACAATTAATATTACTCAAGTTTTAAACAATGAAAAACAGTCATTGAAGCAGCAATAAAAGGATCCATAAGTCGCCTATATGGACATTAAATTTAGCCCATTTCTTTTTCTTTTCAGTATTCAATTGAACCAGGATTACTGGAACAAAATAGTCAATTATATGATTACAAAAAGATTTGATTATACAAATCATGATTTAACATTTCAACATTTCTTATGAGATAGGTGGACCTGTTTGTGTTTTTGTACCGCATTCCAGTCCGGGGTGCAGGAGGAGAGCGCAACATTCATATCAGGCGTATAGTCAGAACTGTATATTGCAGACCTCACAAGACTTTGTCACAACAAAGTCTTTGGGAAACAATGCATTAGACTCTGTAAAGTGGTGGACTAAGTGAGTATGACGTCACTCATCAAATGAAGTTGTGTCAGCGGTTATGGGCAAATTTGGAGCATATTAGGAATTATGACACCCTGTCAACTCTATCAATCAAACTTGTGAGTAACATAGTAGGAACGACCTCGGGGAAATTAGACATTAGCCAAAAGTGACTGTTGAAAATCAAATGCCTGAACAGGACCATGAACCCTTGTATTGATCACAAGCTCATGAAAATGTGTTTAAACCCATTTTATTTTTTTTTATTTTTTTAAGTCTTAAAACTTTTTTGACTGTGTTTGTGAATGTGTGAATTCTGTCACAATAGCAACTGCTGAACATCCCACCATAGACATTAGGGGTGTGCAAAAATATTGAAATATCTATGGATCGTATCGTTTAATGCTACAGTATCAATATTGCGGGCTGCTGTATCGTATATATCACGATATATATATATTTTTAGGTATATTTTACTATATTATTTTGTGTAAGAGCTACAATTGTGTTGAGATATTTACTGTTATGATGAGAAAAATGTGTGTTTTTTATATTAACTTTGCCCGAACTTAGTAGACTTTTAGTATCACAGCCATGATTTAGCCTTTCTTTTTCACTAATCACTATTGAATCAGTTTGAAATATATCATACTGAATCGAAAGTGCACTGTATCGAAAAACATATCGTATCGCTGCCCTTGTATTGAGGTATGTATCATATGTGCAACTTCTTAATGATATCCAGCCCTCATAGGCACACATGTAAAACACCCTTCAGCGGATGTCAAACGCAATGTACTGTATTAATATTACAATATGTTAAGAACTCCTTGATACCAGGATTACAGGATAGAACATGAAAAATAGCATTCGTCAGATCACAGCGCTCCATGATGTCCCCATTAGCCTCTCCCCTGAACATACCATCATGTCATTATTGTGGATCTGAGGAGTCCGGACACCTGCCAGGCTCCCAAGGACAGCAGCAGATCATTCTCACACTTTATTGAATTACTGAAGCTACTGCGGGCACTACCTCACTCCTCTGCTCATTCATTTAGCATCTGTGGGCTATGATGAAAAGACAACACGCGCGATATCTGAAACCTGTAATGAAATAACACGGTACAGATACGCATTTTGTTGATATGTTGATCGGTCCGACTCCAGGCTCCTCCGCTGTTACGGTAAATAGCTGTAATGCGGTTTTGCTTATTGTGTGGAGCTGACAGAGAAGGATAACCTGATGTGATTTTACTGCATTACACCTGCGCGTCTGTACTACCACGCATCCATCAAGTAGCTGGACTCGCAAGCTAATATCTGATAGCGCCATTTGACTGAGAGGGATATAAATATAGAAAGTCCAAGTTGGTAACAGCAAAAACTGAATATGCTGATCAAGTGCAACAGCAAAAGCAATAAGTTTAGTGTGTATGTGCACGCTAAACTTACTGCACGTACACAATTAGGTATTTTCCTTAGCTCAGATTTATAACAGAGGTGGTTCATTTGAGGCTTTATTGCTGCACTACAACTATATAAAGAAAGTTCCAGATGCTTACAAGCAATGTTTCAGATCGTCACAAATGCTGATCATGGATTTGTTTTCAGCAAAGAATGAGACCGCTCTTGTAGTTGAGCAGTTTATGTATATTTAGGGTGACAAGACGTCCCTATTTACCGGGAACAGTCCCAGTTTTGAGCCCTGTGTTTCCTATCCCAGCAGATTTATCCAAAACCAGTGATTTGTCCCAGTTTTTTACAAGAAATGTTCCAGGTGTTTCTATTTTTGACCAATCTGATCCCTGCCAACAGCAAAGAGAAGCATAAATTGTTATTTGTTTAGATAAAATACAGAAAACCTGCTTAAAATGGGCCAAGTGCATTACTATTTTTCTTAATTATGCACTCGTTTTACAATTTTATTATTACCTATCAACCCAAAAAAGGGATGTCCCAGTTTTTGATTTTGAAAATCTGGTCTCTCTACGTATATTTTCTCTGTAGTCGGACAGATGTTTACATTTTACAATTTGTGCCCAATTTTCTTCACATAATAAAGACAAACTTACCTTGCCCCACTACAGGTATATTGTAAAAGCAGCTCTTGAAGTCAAAATGAGACTTCTGTAAGTGTTATTAGCATACTAGTTGTTGTCAGCATTGAGGCAATGGCAAAACTCCACTCTGACCTCTGAAAGTTGTGCAAAGTGCTTATAAACTCATCGCAGTGAATAATTACGATACTAGAAATGCGTTAGTAAAGTAAGGAATATGTTTGTTTGAATGGACCATTTTTGTTTTTAAAATTTTTGAAGACAGTAAAAATCATGTATTGTGGTCTGTTGTCATCTGACGTCCTGTATCCTCTGTCTTGTTGTTCTGAAAGTGCATATACAAATTTACCTTATCATTATTTTTATTATTATTAAGACATTGTGTTTATGTCTGCTATATAGCAATAATCTGTGACACCCGTGGATCATTGTTATAATTTTCAAACTTTAAATCTTAACTCCTATTGATAACTGCACATAACACTAGCAGCTGATGTTTTTTTTTCATTTGTACCAAACTGACTACTTAACACTGTTGAATCTTGCATCTCTCACAAACAAAGAAAGCAGAGAGCTATGGGGGATTGAGCAATATGGCGTCTTAAAAATAAGATATTAAAGACTGCACAAACATGCACCCCAAATTAAACTTCAGGTGAGAAATTTACGGGTGAAACAACAACAATTAGCCAGGCTGGTGCCTCCTAGTGCCTCCGCTCAATTTCATTTCTGTCCAGCGACTAGATCAGGAATCGGAATACACTAGACGATTTGCAAGAACCCCAGAAGTGCGAGTCCGGGCACCAGACAATCAGTGAAGAGCTGTACATTCCGTGATGGAAACGATTCCCAAGATTGAGGATTTAAAGCTGGAACAAAGAGAATGTTTGGTGAATTTTATCAAGGGGAAAGACGTTATTGCCCTTCTTCCTACGGGATTTGGGAAAGGCTTAATATACCAGTTAGCCCCGTTACATACGTCATGACCAAATAGCAGCAACTGGTTAAATTAAAAAGTACCCGCCTACTGTCGAGCGAAACAAATCCTAATGCTGCAATGTTAGACAATTTCCACGAAGTGAAACCCACTGATGAATCAGGCTAGTCGAATCCTGCCCCTATCACAAATTGGACAACAAAAAAGCAGAGAGCAATGGGGGATTGTGGAATATGGCATCTTAAAAATAAGATATTAAAGACTGCACAAACACGCACTCCAAATTAAACTTCAGGTGAGAAATTTGTGGTGAAACAACAACAACAACAACATAAAATCTCTGAAAAGTTATTAGCATAATAGGGCCGCTTTATAACACTTCTTTTCATCCTTGTAGGGCATTCTAAAAACAATCCGCAGACAGTAATGAAAAAGGTCAAACCAGGGGTCATTTAATCTGTAGCGACACCCACAACACATGACAAACGGCTGTGTAGTTTTGCGTGGCGCTACCCTTTTAACGAGTCTAAATGAGCCTGTAATTGTCCTAATGGGAGATAATTACTTTCATTAACATGGCGATCATGAGACAGTGAAAGAGGACACGTCTTGGGTTCCTGTCTGTCAAGCGTGCGCACCGAGCCAATCATAATTTAGCTGACCCCGTTTTGAACTTGTGGAACATCCATTTGTAGCAGGTGCATCATGGTGGAAAAAAGTTTAGGATACAGTGTTAGAGTGTGGGACCCAGCTGAGAGGAGATATTAACGTATTCATGAACGCAGAGGAGGAGGAGGAGGAGGGAGGAGGAACTGAGAGGAGAATTATTATTGCATGGGTTGCAGTGGTTTCTTTCTGCACACCGCCCTACAGTAAAAAACGATTAAACATATTATCTTCATCATACTGGTAAAGTGACAGGTTGCAACAAAATGTATGGGTAAAAAAAAAATTTCAGATATAGAAAAAACGCAGGTGTCACTTTATGTTTACCTGCCTCTCTTCTCCCAGGTTTCAGAGGGTGTGACTGACAGGCAGATTAAAATCTCGTGATGTGTCTTGTTTCATGAAAATTTGGTCTCGTCCCATCCCTAGTCTCTCTAATTGGTTAAAGGGACAGTTCGGAATTTTGGACATAGGGCCTCATTTCCTAGTGAGCCAGAGTGTTGGAGACCTGTGGAGACACTTTTTAAAAAATTCCATCCGGTCCTTGTATTTGCAGAAGTCGCTGGTGCTAGGCTTGTGCATGTCAGTGGCCATAGTTAGCGCCACTAAAAGCAGTCTTAACCACTCCACATAGCACCTGAAATAAATTTATTATCATGCCAGACTGTTGATGTAAATGTCTATGTTGATAAAATAATGTTTGAAATAAAACTAACCTTGCATCGCATGAATCGCCGCATGCTGAGGAACTATTTTCTCATATATCAGTCCGCCGCTACTAAGCTTTCTGTCAGTAAGTACAACTCGCTGCTCCTGTTCAGTTTTGCTTCTAAAATTATTCTATCAACACAGACATTGACATCAACAGTCTGGTGCTATAATTGTTTTGCTTCGGGTGTTTTGTGGAGTGTGTAAGACTGTTTTTGGTGGCAGGATAACTATGGCCATTGACATGCACTAGCCTAGCACCAGTGACCTCTACAAATACAAGGACTGCATGGAATATTTTTAAAAAGTGTCTCCACACGTCTCCAACACTCTGGCTCACTAGGAAATGAGGCCCTATGTCCAAAATTCCAAACTGTTCCTTTAACCAATCAGAGAGACTAGGAGTGGGACGAGACCAAATTTTCATGAAACAAGACACATCACGAGATGAAGCCCAAAAGAACGTGAAAAGATGAGATTTTGCCATTGTAATAGATAAGTACCAGTAAGTGCAATCCATTTCACAATTTTATTTTCACTATTTTTATTTGTTTTATGTAATACTTTAGAGGTCATTGTACCACTGTTTTTGGGAACTGCAGCTTCTCAAATTGTATAACTCACCAGCTCTTAATTCTTTTTTGTCAAGCCAAAGGTAAATTCAAGGGGGAAAAAAATCTCCCAAGAAAATTTTTGTTATCTTCTGGCAATTTTGTCTCTCGAGATCTTGTGGCACAAGATCTTGAAACACAGAAACGAACAAGCCTGCTTCCACGTAAAAAAGGAGAATAATCTATATAATGGATTGAGAAACAGTGCGGCTTTTTACAGAATCAACAGTCGAAGCACCAAAAGTATTACTTAGCTCAGATAAAATAAGTCTAATTTATATAAAAAACCATTAAATTTGATCTTACAAGTGCTGTACCTGATTTTACTGCTAGTCCTCAATTACTCATTAACAACAATGCGGAGGAGGAGGAGAGCAGGAGGGACTGAGAGGAGAATTATTGCACGAGTTTATTTTTACACACCGCCCTACTGTAAAAACAGATTAAATATATTGTACTGTAAACATGATACTGCTAAAGTAACAGCTGGGAACAAAAGCTAATGGGTTAAATAAAGCTAGATAGTTCAGACAAGTTGTAAGTGAGACTTTTTTCATGTTTTTTCGTTAAAAGATTGGTTGTCTACTCCCTCCCACTCCAGGAAGTATGGGGTATTGATATTTCTATAGACCTTTGCTCTCTTAAAAATGTTAAAAAAACTGAACTATTTTAAGCAATTTGCAGTGGTTTAAACTAAAGTTACTTCTCACTACCTTATGAATCCAGAGCATCCCAATTATTCACCATGATGAGGTTATAAGTACTTTTCACAGCTATCAGAGGCCGGAGTGGACTTTTGCTTTCATGGTAAAGCTTACAATGATAAATGGTCTCATGACTTTTTGGACTTTGAGAAGATGAGGTGTATGTGTGCAGGTTCAACCCAAGCCCCGGGGACCTAAAAATGGCTGCCCATTCAAGTCAATGGGCCGAGCTCAATGGCGCATGACTCCAGATTCGCCTTTAGCCCGGTGAGGTTCTTCCGGTGGCTCTGGGCTGATTGAGCATGCGCAGTAGTGCTCTTTCTCCCGCGGACACACGCAAATGAACACAAGCATATGTATGGAGCGTGGACTCGTGTATCATGTGATCATTTTGACCAATCAGAGAGAGAGGAGCTAGAGCAGAGCAGAGTGTAGCCGGAGGTAACGATTATGAAGTGTTTTCTAAAACAACGGAAGGATTTTGAGCTGAGAAAAAGTTTATGATGTAAAAATAGGATTTGGATTACTTAATTTGCTGTAGAGAAGCATAGACGAGGACATCGTAACATAAGATGTTTTGTCTGACAAAAGAAAATGAAAAGCCCAGACTTTACTTAACCGTATTAAAAATATTATTGATAGAAGAGAAGGAGACACGTCCACGCAGCATGATTTAGTCCTGTTAAATCCTGTTGTAGTCCCGTTTTAGTCCTGGTTTAGTCCTGGTTTTAGACGTGTTTTAGTCCTGGTTTAGTCTTGATTTAGTCCTGGTTTAGTCCTGGTTTTTAGTCCTGGTTTTAGTCCTGGTTTTAGTCCTGGTTTAGACCTGGTTTAGATTCAGTTCAGACCTGGTTTAGTTTCCGGCAATGAGTGGAATTACAAAAAATTTAAAAAAAATAAAAAAATACCGCCATGTAATCCTTTTATTTCAACAAAGTAACTGTAATCCCATTACTACTCACTGAAACAGTAACTGTAACTGAATACAGTTACTCATAATTTGTACTGTGATAACGTAACTCCGGTACATGTAATCTGTTACTCCCCAACACTTCTTATAATCCAATGCACTTTATGTATGAAACTAGACAGGAGAATTCAACATTATTGATATTGCGCCTTATAATCCAGTGAACCTTATAGTCCGAAAAATACGGTATGGTTTTTTTCTTTTTTTTTTTGCTGGGATTATTTTTTGACAAAATTGCACAAATATGATGTTTGGTACACATACTTTATAATTTGCTATCGAAATGTATATATAAAGTTGTAAAAAGAGCTGCTTATACCATATATCTATCTTTACTGTGTCAAAAATGATTAAAATAGTTTATACATTTTTTCAATGTTGTCCCAAAAGTTACAAAATTGGTTTACAACAATAATAAGAAAGTTCCATAGTGCATCTTTTACTGTTGAGAGTTCACAGTAAAACCAGCAGCCACTGAAAACACACTTGTCTGTTGCGTGTTAATGCTAATACAATGCTAATGGCGTGAGTGCAGCCTTAATAATGAGGCATGAATCAAACGCGACATCTTGCGGGCTGCATAATCTGCTAGTGTCTGTAACAACATCTCACGTCTCCATAATGGCTTGCTCAATCACTTATGTAATTGAAAGCTCGTAATTAGCAACGGCGATGTGCAACCGTGAGCCCTCGTCCAGCTGTTTGAAATATCAGCTGTCCAATCAAAGCGCCGCGTTTGGTGTAAAAGACGGCACAAAAACCCGATCAACGCCAATGGATGGATGCCTCTTCTCTCACGACTGTGTTTGTATAGAAAGAATCGATTCTGGAAACATGTTGCGCCAATTAATTTTAAAAGGGCAAAAAAAATTGTTCAGAGAGACACAGAGTTTGTATTTCATAATTTGATTGTAGTTTTAAAAGGAGAAGTCCGTCTGTGCCAGGAGAAATTATCTTTGCTCTGATGGCTCGTCTAATTCTTGTATAATATCCATGTATTACAGAGACCAGTGTCCTCATTTTTACTGTCTACCATGTTTATTATTGTTTTATATACCGCAAAATTGCATCTACAGGGTATGACAGGTTTTTATATTTCTCTCATTTTGACTTAATTTGGAGGGATAATACCTAAATTTGTTTTATTAAGAAGCAATTTGAGAAGAAGTAGTTGACAAATAAGTTGGAAATTACAGAAAGTAAAGAGTTCCATCGTGATTATGTCAAACTGGGAGAATTTTTTCAAAAAAATTTGGCACAATTTACATGCAAGAAACAATTTTTATTTTTTTGATACTTCAAACATTATTTAGCAAAATTTTCTTATACTTTGATTTGTCAAATTATAATTTTGAAAAATTATAAAATAAAAAAAAATTGCCAAATTGGGAAAACAAATAAAAAATTGAGTGAAATGTTAAACATGATGATTTCAACTGTGTTTTAGGAATATGGGTAATCAAACCTGTCATGGCACATAGATGGCAGTTTTTAACCTCAGATTCTTCATATTAGGGCTCCAAGTGCCCTCTACTGGCAACTGAGAGATTTTACGTTTTAAGTCATAAATTATGAAAGATATACTATTGCAGAACATATTCAAAATTGTAATATTATACATAAAGTAAGAAAAACTATATGCATAAAAATAGGTTTGTTACTGTCATGTGCCCCCTATGTGGAGGAGTCATAATTCTAAACAAATAATGTGAGCACTGGGACCATCAAAAACTTTATTCCCTAATTTCTCAGTTGCCTTTGATGCTCTTCTGTCTTGTCATCTGTGATAGAGAAATTGTGTTTTTGTGCTGCTCCAGTCCAACACTGCCAGCTCAGTCCTTGTTATCTTTGCTCTTTGCTCACGTCATCAGAGCTATAAAACTCCCTACAACAGAATCATAGCCAGACTGGACTAGACTGGACTAGACTGGACTAGACTGGACTAGACTGGGCTAGACTGGAATGGGCAACACAGATTTTATGATTTTCCAGGTCCCATATTGATTGTAAATATATAAACTTTTCCTGCATTACAATCTCTTCTTACAGCTCTTGAGCTACTTCCATTGAGTTTGTAAGAGTATGAGTCAGGTAAAGCAGGCCAGCCTCACCTATGAAGGCCGTCCTGATGCTGCTGTGAATGGGCAGGATGTTCTTGTGGATGAGCTCCATGGGCCCGGGCCTCTGGGAGATTTTATCATTCAGATCATCCGCCAGACGAGCTCTTTTCTGCAGCCCGGAGTCTTCTCCTGTGCTTTCTGAAACACACAGACACACACAAACACACACAAACACAGGTGGACTTTATCAGCCTGTATGTCAAACCAGCATCAGCACCTATCGGCAGGTGCAGTGTGGACAGACAGGGTCACGCCTCGTCCCTCACCCTCCAGGATGTGCATTCTGATGAGCTCTGCACGTGCTGGGCGCCGCTGGATCCTCCTCTTCAGGTAGTCCTCTGTCTGTAGAGAGAAAAAGCAAAAAGGTAAAGAGAAAAAGGTAAATTTCCGAAGGATGTATAAGAGGTACAACTATAAAATAATTGAACAGGAAAAGAATGAATAAAATGTAAAAAATAAATAGTAAAATAAAATACAGCAGAGTTGTTATAGCTGCTTGAGTTGAGGTTTTTTCATTAAATTCATCTCTTTAACTATTTCAAAAAGATTCACAGCAGTCCTTTGTTTCATGTATTTCAGAGATGAAAAGAATATGCAAAGTTCTTCATGACATACATGGAAATTTTCTAATCTTTAATCTGGATGGCTCTTCAATTGTAGACGAGCACTGTGCCAAACTAAGATAGAATATCATGTGCAATTATGCCTCTCACTGTAGTTTATCTTTGCTTTTCTTACTTTTTTAGTACAAGTAGACAGTTTATTCATGCAGTCTTTGGTAGTACAGTAAATTATAACATGTGAGTTGAGGAGCCCTGATTTAAAGCCACAGTATGTAATTTTTAGCCCAATGTGTGACTAAAATAAAGGCATGTATAATCTTCCACGTTATGGCATTAATTGTATGTATCGAACGTATGAAGCATGGTTTGTGTTTTCATGGAAGTGGCACACTAAGATAAGGTAAATTTCATTAAATGTATATTGTGATCATTACTCATGGATGACAATATCAGAGGCATAAAGCTTTCCTAATATTTTAACACAGTATATATGATTTTTTTAAGCTTTAACACTGATCGGGGTTGGGCTATGAAAATAAGATTAAGTTTTTCAGTCTTTTCTCTACGCTTTGTCTCTTTAGCGCAGCAATTTTGCATTTCTGACTCACTCACCCGTGCACGTTCAAGGCTCCGTTTCTGCTCATGGAAGGAGGCGGAACTTTTCAAGGCTGGGCAAAGAAAGATGTGGAAAGTTAGTGAAGTGTCTTGAAATCCTCCCATTTATTAAGTTCCAACCCCAAAATGCAACCTGCAGATCACAATGTTAATAATATTTTGACTCATAATAGAAAATGTGTCATTTGGGGCTGCTGTTTCACAAACAGACACCAATCTTTAAACTTTCAACCATGTTATGATGTTGTTACCGCCTCAAAAACATACCTGGAGTTGTGGTTTTTTTCATACATGTTTGAGTAATCTGGCATTATTAAATGCTCTCTTTCATTTTGTGATGTCATGTAGTGGTAGTAATCCTCCAAATGATTCTAGTGAAGGTGTATGGAGTTTATAAACACAGTGGAGCACTTCCTATATTACACATTTCTGTGTGAGAGAAGAACACAGCTTAAATATGCAGGGTTTGTGCTTTAAACATGTGTGAATGAAACAAAACACAACTCCAGGTCTGTTTGTGAGGACAAAACAACATTATAACACAGATCAGAAAATAGTGCAATATGGACCCTTTAAAGCAAAATTCCTGCTAATGAGTGTAAATGTTTTGCTTTGACTGCCCCTAGTGGTCATTCTGTGCATTTTGTCTAATCTGCCATTTGCTTGAAATACCTGGTCTTGACTTGGACTCGAGTCAGACTTGAGTCACTATTTTTATGACTTGAGACTTGACTTGATAAAATGGACTAAGACTTGGGATTCGGCTTGGACTTGAAGATCAATGACTTGGGACTTGACTCGGACTTGAGGCCTGTGACTTGAGAAGACTTGATGCTTCTCCTAAAAAATATGTTTTTTGAAAATATTTTTCTTTTTACAGTTAATACATGTGGTGATTAATTTTACAGGAACAAACTGGAACATGTCTCTCCCACTTCTGTTTGTTACTTTGGATGTAACTGAAGTATTGTGAAGTACTGTGATGTGGTGTCCTCAAATGTACTACAGTAAAAAGTACAATACAGAGGCACTTTAAAATCTGAATTCTTTCAGTTCTGACCTGTAATTATTCACACTAAGATCTTGTCAAGACATTTAAAAAGGAAAAAATAGAATTTCTACAACTCTTATATATATGACTTTTTAAGTATAATTTAGTTTTAAACTCATATAAATTGCAATAATCTAAGATATATTCGGTACTTTGGTTTAAAGACTTGAAATGACTTGAAGCTCAAAGCAGACAACTTGGACTTGACTTGGACTTATGGGCCACTGACTCTAGACTCGACTTGGACTTGCCTGTATTTGACTTGGGACTTGACTCAAACTTGAGGTCAAAGACTTGAGAAACAACGACTTGATCCAACTCTGTCCCACATTATACACCCAAAATCTTATCAGGTTAATCTATCATAAAGTTGCATGTTTTATGTTTTGTGTTAAATATTTTTCGCATATGAATACAAAAAAACAAAACAAAAAAAGCACTAGAATCTGTGCCATAGTAATCCAATTAGCAGGCAGTGTTAAAAGGCTGAAATATCACTGTGGGGTATGTACTCCACCAGTGGTATTTTTGAGTGGGCCCAGCTTTTACAAAAGACTTAAATAATACTTCTGTGACTGTAATTATGGAAAAGGCAGGGATTAGTGCTACTGCAAACCTTAAGGCCCGTAGGCTCCCCTGACTATTAAATGTAATACAGAACAAGGAGCGGATACCGGAGAGGCCCTCATTTAGGCACATTAATAACCAGGCTCCAGTGTGATGCTATATTTTTGCAAACCAACATTCATCTTTTGTTTTTTAATAACTTGTATTAAACGCCCCATATTACACTATTTTTTTTATCTATGTTCTCTTAAGGCTCACAAGAGTCAAGTTTGCGGAATATAGGACCTTTAAGCGATTACAGCACATCTACAGAGGCTCAGACAGCAGTGCTTAGTACAATGAAGAAGTTCAAAGATACAGGCATCTAAAATTTGTACTTAACAAATTCTGTTTTTCACATTTTTATTTCTAAAATGTGTGCAGTGATTGAAATGCATTGCTAATTTACCTTTTCACAACTCTCAGACACCAGTTTGCTGTCATGATGATGCTAACAACACCGAGCATGTTAATGACTGTTTTCCAGTGAATCAAACACTCTTTAATTACTGGATGCAGACAGCAGATATTGTTTCACATATGAGTTGCTTTTACAGTTTGGTATATCGCTACTGGGCAAAGCAGATTTGACTTAATTGCATGAAAAAAAGGTGCGCGAATTTTAAAGGTCCTATATTACACAAAATTGATCGTCTGAGCTTTAGGCCATGTTATAATAACCAGGCTGGCACCACCTAGTGCCTCCGCTTACTTTCATTTCTCTCCAGCAACTAGGTCAGGAATCAAAATACACTAGACGGTTCACAAAACCCCCGGAAGTGCAAGTTCAGGCACCAGCAATCAGCGAAGAGCCATACATTCTGTGTTGGCAACGATTCCCGAGATCGAGGATTTATAGCCGGAATAAAAAGAATGTTTGGTGAATTTCTTCAAGGGGAAAGACGTTACTGACCTTTTTCAAACAGGATTTGGGAAAAGCTTAATGTACCAGTTAGCCCCGTTAGCAGCACACATACATTACGACCAAATAGCAAATACCTGCCTACCTTCGAGCAAATGAATTCTAACACTGCAAGGTCAGATAGTTTCTACGAGGTGAAACTGGTTGATGAATCTAATCTAATGTTATAATGTTACCTCATTAAAAACCTACCTGGAGTTGTGTTTTTGTTTCATTCACATGTGTTTGAGTAATCCTATTTATTTATTATTTTGTCTGTCTGCAGTTCCAAAGCTCTAAATGCTCTGTTCCATCTTTTTCATTTTCAGGCCGACAGAGAACCGTACCAGTGCCGGTTCCCAGACCTAATCTCGAGCCGACTGACATGTTCATACTGAAAATCAGAGCGTTTAGGAACCAAGAAAAACGTGTTTTTTCCAAGCAAACCGTGACGGCACAGTAAACGTCAGCAGGTTCAACTGGGTCACACGTGGTACAAGAAACAAACAAAGAAATCGTGTTTGTGGAATATGGTGGAGAAAGAAGATTGTGCAGTGGTCAGCGGAGGAGAACAAACATTTGCTATATCCGTGTTCTCCTGGTAAGGTTACAGATCTTGGTGCAGATAAATAATGATTTGTATGCGTAAATCATTATTTTATTTACAAATGCTCGCTGGTGTCGATGATGCGATACCTTTTGTTTAGAAGAGATTGGATAACTTCAGGGCTGAAATTATCCAAATGATTCTAATGAAGATGTGTGGAGTTTAAAAACACAGTGGAGCACTTCCTGTATTACAACATCATGAAGTGGAACAGAGCGTTTTCAGTTTGAGAGAAGAACTCAGCCTAAATATGTAGGGTCTGTGTGTTAAACATGTGAATGAAACAAAATACAACTCCAGGTCTGTGATGAGGAAACAACATTACAACATAAATTTTTTAAAAAGTATAATACAAACTCTCAGACTCTTTAAAAACTCTGAGGAGCACTTTGTTGAACAGAATGACAATGTTGTACTTCTGAAATGTCTAGTGGCACTTTTTATCTGAAGCTTTTGTCTATTTATGGCCGAACCCGTCAGTCTAAAAAGTGTAAAAAATTGTCTCTTTTTGACAGTTAAATATCTCCATATGACAACCAGTAACTTTGAGCTTTAGCAATTATATGAATAAATTCTCCTGATAACAGCTTGACATTTGCGTTTCCATGGTTTCGGCCTATAGATAGACTGATAGGGCAGTAAGCAGCACAAACGGCTTGGGGCAGATACAAGAATGCAAGAAACAGCACATATTGATAAAAATGACCGTATTAAAATCACTGTTAGCAAATCGTAAAGGCTGACATTTTTGTAGTACTGTAATTTCTTCCACACACAACAAAATGTACTAGATAAAAATGTCAAACCCTGTAGTTTAGATCGATACAAGGAAGTTCTGAAATACATTTGAGTCTTGTTTTAGTTTTAGTTCTTGGATCAGTTCTTCTCGACAGGTTGAAAATGTGAACTTCATTCATTCAACTTTGTTCATTTGTTTTTCAAAATAGAACCGAAAGAACGAAAAAGAAAATGAAAAAAATGAATTATTTGTCTCCAAAACCAACATGAAAAAATGCATACCAATTTGTTTTTTCAGTTTTCGATTTGTAAATGAATAATGGAAAAACTGATGACCAGAGTTTCTCGTTTTCGTGACTTAAACTGCACTTGTCAAACATTTTAGGTGATCATGTTAACAAAATAACACGATTTCCAAAAAATATATATATATATATATTTATATGAAAACTTTATATGTTTTGATGACAGGACAGGAGGATAACAGTTTCCAGTTCTGCGTCTCATACATTTATGGAGTAAAAAAGCTTTCAGAAATATGTGTGTGCATAGGATAGAAATCTGTGCATATTTGGCTGTATTTGAGCATAAAATAAATATTCGTAAATTCTCGAATGAGTACAGTGGTACATAAAACGTATTGTGTGTATTTTATCCATCAGAATATGAATTGAAAAGTTACGACATCAAGAATTACAATCACGAAAATGAAAATTTACTATTACGCTTTCTTCCGTACGAATACGGATTCACAGACGCAACGTTACTGTCAAAAATGCGTCATCACTTCACAGACATTATTTATTGAGCAGAAGAAACATCGATCGAGATGTTGGACTTTTGCGCCACATATGGACTGAACCAGGACTAAACCAGGACTGATCCAGGACTGACCATTATTAATCAAAACACAATGTCAAAAACTGAAAAAAACAAATCGTATCCATTTTTTCATTTTGGTTTTGGACACAAATAATGAAGAAAATAGTTGTTTCTTCATTTTCTTATTTTTGGTTTTTATTCTGAAAAACAAGTGAACGGAACATTTGACAGAGCCTCCACCAGAAAAGTTACACAATGCAGCTTTGAAACATTAATCTCAAATCTTATCGTAATGGTTTTCAGAAAAATTGCAATTTGATATTTCACCCCAAATCTTCCACAGTATAAATAAGTCATTTGTGTCAACTGTAGTCCGTCCTCTTATTCTTTTGGAGTTGGGATTGTTGTGTTATAGGGACACACTGTGGACAATCAAAATACAGACATTAAGACTCTTTAAAGGGACTGGATTTAGTCTGTGCTCTTACAGTTTTAAAAATGTTTCACAATCAAAACATCTCCTTTCTCTTTCCTCACTCTCTTCTCCTTGATTCCTCTCCTCCATTCTGCAGGAAATGGGTGAAAAAGTCCCAGACACAGAGGACACACAGAGAGAGGATATAAACTCCTCACTGTGAACAACAACTGTCTACCCCTCTGTCTTTGCCTCTGTCTCTGTCTCTCTCTCTCTCTCTGTCTTTGTTGCTGTCTCTTTCTCTCTCTGTCTCTTTTTCTCTCTAGCTCTCAGTTTGTCTCTCTCTCTCTCTCTTCCTCTCACTCTCGGTCTATCTCTGTTTGTGTCTCTCTCTCTCTTCTTCTCTCTTTCTCTGTCTCTCTCTCTCTCTTGTTCTCTCTGTCTCTCTCTCTCTCTGTGCCTCTCTCTCTAGCTCTGTCTCTCTCTCTCTGTCTCTCTCTAGCTCTCTCTCTCTGTGTCTCTCTCTCTTTCTCTAGCTCTCTGTCTCTCTGTGTCTCTCTCTGTCTCTCTCTAGATGTCTGTCTCTCTCTCTGTCTGTCTCTCTCTCTGTCTCTCTCTAGATGTATGTCTCTCTCTCTCTCTCTGTCTCTCTCTGTCTCTCTCTCTCTCTGTCTCTCTCTCTAGATGTCTGTCTCTCTCTCTCTCTCTGTCTCTCTCTGTCTCTCTCTGTCTGTCTCTCTCTCTGTGTCTCTCTCTCTTGTCTGTCTCTCTCTCTCTCTCTGTCTGTCTCTCTCTCTGTCTGTCTCTCTCTCTTTGTCTTTCTCTCTCTCTGTCTCTCTCTAGATGTATGTCTCTCCCTCTGTCTGTCTCTCTCTCTGTCTCTGTCTCTGTGTCTCTCTCTAGATTTCTGTCGCTCTCTCTGTGTGTGTCTCTCTCTCTCTTTGTGTGTCTTTCTCTCTGTGTGTCTCTTTTTCTCTTTCTGTGTCTGTGTGTGTGTCTCTCTCTCTCTCTCTCTCTCTCTCTCTCTCTCTCTCTCTCTCTCTATATATATATATATATATATATATATATATATATATATATATATATATATATATATATATCTTATATATATCTCTCTGTCTCTCTCTGTCTCTTGCTTCCTCTCTCTCTCTGTCTGTCTCTCTCTCTGTCTTTCTCTCTGTCTGTCTCTCTCTCTTTGTCTTTCTCACTGTCTCTCTCTGTCTCTTTCTCTCTGTCTCTCTCTGTCTCTCTCTCTCTGTCTTTCTCTCTCTGTGTCTCTCTCTGTCTCTGTCTCTCTCTCTCTCTCTGTCTTCTCTCTGTCTCTTTCTCTGCTGTCTGTCTTCTCTCTCTGTCTCTCTCTCTCTGTCTCTCTCCCTCTCAGCCAATCACAGTCCGTAGCCTTTACCTCTCAACCAATCACCTCTCAGGACATTCACACAAATGCACTCTCTCTCCTCTACATATCAAATTATTTGCTTTTATTTTGTCCACATAAAAGTTACACAGTGCCCCTTTAAAACATGACAATTATCTCTTTGCACAGAGTAACTCCAAGAAACAACAAACAAACAGACTTTTAACCCACAGTAGCAGTACAGCATTTAGCCTGGTGGACTTGTAAACCCTATTACAGTAATTCTTCATTCTCTGGCAATAACCTTTGATGTAAGCAGAGTGGCATTTACTCGCAGCTAACTCGCCATTTAAATGTCAATACAACATGTGATTAAGTCGAGCTAGCAGGTCAGTGCACGTACAATGACAATTTAAAGGTCTTATATTACACAAAACTGACTCTTGTGAGCTTTAAGTCGTGTTAGAATCTTGTTTCTTCATCAAAAACAAACCTGGAGTTGTGTTTTCCCAAATTCTTTTTACTTTCTTTTTACTTTTACAGAAGTACCACTACTTAGTACTACATGAGTACCATATTTTTCGGACTATAAGTTGCTTTTTTTTTTTTTCTCGGTTTGGGTGGTCCTGCGACTTATTCTCCAGTGGGACTTATATATTAAAATTTTCAGACTGACAGCCGCAAGAGGCTCTAGGCTTGTGTGCCAGTATCTAGTACTACTATTACTCCTGTACCACTGTCACTTTGCACTCTACTGTACATGCCTCCTACAGAAAGAGCCGCTGTCCTGCTGCATGTAGTGAAATATTCAGATGAAAACGGTATTAGAGCAGCAGAAAGAAAGTTTGAAGTGAGCGAGAAACTTGTGATTGACTGGCGGAAAGCGAGGATGGAGAACACAGCTTCACGGTTATCAGGAGGATGCACCATGAAACTTTTCTGGAAGTCACTGGATGGCTCGACAAAGCCCGAACTTCAGTGACAACCTAAACTATCCTGTCGGGATTCAGAAAGCCCAGAATAATTCACACTGGAACTGATGCTGAGTCTGACAACAGCTACACAGAAGAGGAAGCGGCGCTCAGTTTACCTCCGGAGGTCACCAAGTTACTCAGAAGTGACACCGAGGATGAAGAATTCAATGGATTTAGTGATTTGGAGTGAGATGGAGAGTTTGGTAAACTTGTTCTGTTCTGTTGTTTATGCTATAGTTATCTGAATAAATGTTATGTTACGTTAACATACAGACGCCTATTCAGTCTGTTATTCTCTGTTATTGTTATTACCATAATTTGCCTTTCAAGTTGAAATGTCGGTTCCTGGTCTCTGATTTCATTAATAAATTTCCCCCAAAAATGCAACTTAGTCCAGTGCAACTTATATATGTTTTTTTCTTCTTCATTACACATTTTTTGGCTGGTGCGACTTATACACCAAAGCGACTTATAGTCCGAAAAATACAGTAATATTATTTTGAACATTACAAATTTTTGCCTACTTCCCACCTCTGTCAGTGGCTCATCGTAGCCTCTTGCCTCCAGTTCATGTTTCACTTTTCTCCCCAGTGAATATGAATTTTAAACTAAATTCCGCAATTAAACGTGAATTGCAAATCTAATCATAATCACAGAAAAAACGCAATTCGATATTTTGCCAAAATCGTTCAGCCCTATAGTTGAGAATTCAGTTTATAATGTTTACAATGCTACTATTTACTATTCATGTAAACATATTGTCAAATAGGACTTGTAAGTTCCCATCGCTTGTTGAGTATGTTCCTGTATCACCACATGACATCATGGAACTCAGCAAAACTCCACCGAAATGTACAGGGTTTGTGTTTTAAACTTGTGAGAATGAAACAAAACACAACTCAAGTTTGTTTTTGAAGAGGAAACAACATTATAACAATGATCAGAAAATGATGTAATATGGGCCCTTTAATATGCACATTTTAATATAATTTCATGTATTTTTTCCAGTAATTGTGTTGAATTGACAGACATTACAGTAGATTTCTCACGTAAAATATTGAAAATTGAGCTGTGGTGAGTGAGCAGCCGAGGCAAAGGCTACAGTTACATTTAGAAAGGATATATTTTTACGTCCTGGATTGGGTCCCATTCTATTTTCAAGTGTTATTCACAACATACATGAGTATTGGGTGACTTACGTGGAATGATGCCCTGACTGACCAGCTCTTCTCGGGTTCTTCTCTGCTGCAGCTTCAACTGGAGCACTGCACAAACAAAGAGACAAACTTTTTAATTTTAAGATTAATTTTAAAGTCGCACTGTGTAACTTTTCTGGTGGAGAATGCTTTTCTCTGTTGCTTTGTCTGGGTTGTTTCACAGTATGGTACTAAGCACTTTGAATTATTTTGTGTGCGATACAAAATTAACTTGCCTTGCCTTGCCTTAAACATTTTTATCTTCATGGAGACCAAAGCTGATGAAGTTAGGGGTCAGATCTGTGGAGAGGCGACCCCGCTCACAGCCTGAATGCCTGTTTTTCTGAGCTATAATATTGAATTAATGTAAAGGGAGAACTATTTAATCTCATGCTGTGGAATATTCTGAGCAGAGTAATGGCGTATCCATAGCAACAAGCAGGTGACGGACCCTTCACCGGAAAAGTTACACAAATGCACCTTTAATTTTAATTTTAATTTTAAGGTGTACTATGTAACTTTACTGGTAGAGGGTCCGCCATATCCTTGACTCCATGTAGATGTTATTGTTTAATGTTCCACAGTATGGCATGTAATTTTTAACTATCTTCATGGAGGTAAGCAAGCCACATTGCCAGACCAAGTTACAGGTCAGATCTGTGGAGAGACGACCCCGCTCACAGTCCGAATGCTTGTTTTTGTGGGTATTTTTTAGCTATAAAATTTAATAAATGTAAGCTAGAGCTATTTAATGTCATACTGTGGAATATTCTGAGCAGAGTAATGGCGTATCCATAGCAACAAGCAGGTGACGGACCCGCCACCTGAAAAGTTATGAAATGCACTTTTAATTTTTAATTTTAAGGTGTACTATGTAACTTTTCTAATAGAGGGTCCTCCACATTCCTTGACTCCATGTAGATTTTTAATTAATTTTTTTCCAGAGTTCCACAGTATGGTATTTAATTTAACTATCTCCATGGAGGCGAGCGGGCCACATTGCCGGGCCAAGTTACAGGTCAGATCTGTGGAGAAGCGGGCCTGCTCACAGTCAGAATGCATATCTTTGTGGTAGTTTTTGACAAATAAAAACATGAATAAATGCAAGATACTTTTGTTTAATAACATCCCAGGCAAAGCAATGACATCACTATGGAGACAAGAAGATGGCGGACCCTTCATCAGAAAAGTTACACAGTGCAGCTTTAATTTAAATTAATAAACACTAGAGCTTACATTGGGATATTTAAATTTATTGCTCACTAAAACACACTTATTGAAATGAGGAGCAGATTGTGTTTTTAAAAAGTTGTTACTGTACAATTTTTTGTGTTTATATGAATATAGTCGAGTGTTTTAGTGGGTCATGAAAGGACTATGGGCTGTTTATTCTTAGCACAGGTGTGAGCTGCAGACTGCTGGTGTTAAACAGTGGGTAAGTACCATGAGAAAGAAAAACAAAAACACAAGAAGCAGATTAAAACATATATATATACTCTTTATGGTTTATTTCTTGTCCCACCCAAATTGTAATGTAAGTAGCACTTTTGATTCATGACTTGTTGACAGCGCTATATTTACTGCATGACTCGTAAATGTGAAAGTTTATCATCGTTGTCCAGTTACATTTTACATATTTGTGTGTAGAGTTTGAAGGAACTGTATGTAACGTTTTGACGGAAAATTTCATGAACTTGACCTGTGTGTCAGCAAGTTCAAATCAAATTCAGCTTTTACTGATAACAATTACAAAAAACATTAGGCACGATGTCACATTTATTTATCTTATAATTTGGAATTTAGGTCCTGAAGATGAAGAATCGGAAAGCCTCACATTTGGGTTTCTATGCTTATCCAGTTTGTTTAAGCCTAAAAAATCCTCTCTGATCTGAATGGTCACTCTCTAAACCCCAGAACCTGCAGTCAATAATGATTCAGTGCTAGTGTAGCCTCTGCAGCTCAGACAAGGAATTCTGGAGGTTCTGAGCTTTCACATGAGCCCTGGCCTGTCCATATACTGAGAAAAATATGTATGCATGTGTCCTGTATCTGCAGATTAAGCACCCAGATGTCACCAATAGCTCACGAGGCTCGCGGTTAAAGGGGTGAATTTGAAGCTGAGCCCAATATACAGAGGAGGTATTTATTTACAGAGATAACAGCGAAATAAAATCCAGGATCATGTAGAGCAGGAGTCTCCAATCTGTAGCTCAGGAGCTACCAGTCGCTCTCCACCCTCTTCCTCACCAAGGGATTTCTGAATTACATGTATTGTCCTGAATAACTAAAATTTGATGAATTAAATGCCTATTATTATTGTAAATCTATCATTTTGATGTCTGACTTTGTGCGCTCATAAATAAATAATGGTTTATGTTCTGTGTTTTATCTAACTGTACCTCATCTAAGTCTTTAGCCAGGCTGGTACCACCTTGTGCCTCCGCTCTATTTCATTTCTCTCCACTAGACAGTTTTCAAGAACCCTGAAAGTTGTAGATCGTACACCAGCCAGTCAATGAAGAGCTGTGAAGCCATGATGTCAAACTCTCAAACGTTCAAGCACCTGTCTGGGTCCTTTTTGTGGTACAGCACAACAGTAAACAAAGCGGTCGAGATGGATGTAGATGACGCCATACATTCTGTGTTGGCAACGATTCCCGAGATCGAGGATTTGAAGCGGGAACAAAGAGAATGTTTGGTGAATTTTATCAAGGGGAAAGACGTTATTGCACTTCTTCCTACAAGATTACATTCCTCACAGCCAAATAGCAGCAATTGGTTAAATAAAAAAAGTGCCCACCTACCGTTGAACGAATCCTAATGCTGCGAGGTCAGACGGTTTCTACGAAGTGAAACCGGCTGATGAAACAGGCTCCTAAGTCTTGCCATGCCTCCTATGTATACTTTACTTCCTGCAACCGCTAAAAGTAGTAGCTCTCTGGAATTTTCATTTTGTAAAGGTAGCTCACTCGAGGAAAAAGGTTGGAGACCCCTGATGTAGAGCGACAGAAATGACGAGACTCACTGCAGCAATTACAAAAAGTGGGCTGACAATTTTCTAGTATAACGTCAACTGGAGTCGGGGAGAGGGAAGTGCGCCCATGCTCACTTCCTGTTTGGAACACAATAACTAGTGCGTTACCTATGTTCATTTAAATGTACAGTCAACTGTTGTGATTGTAGCTCCTTTTCACATTTCCTTTAACCTATCTTGTAAGTTGAATACATATTTTGGTCAATATTAGGGTGACCAGATGTTCAAAATAAAAAACTGGGACATCCCTGGTTTGGATTGGTTGGTAATAATAAAATTGTGGAACGAGTGCGTCATTAAGGAAAATTGTTATGCACTCGGCACTAATGTGAGTCAATATAATCACATTTTCTTTGTGTTTTGGTAATTTTTAAGCAGCTTTTCTGTGTTTTACCTAAACAAATGACAAGTTATGTCTCTCTTTACTGTTAGCAGGCACCAGCTTGGTTAAAAATAGGGAGATCTGGGACATTTCTTGTATAAAACTGGGACAAATCACTGGTTTTGGACATGAATTTACTGGGACAGGGGACTCAAAACTGGGATCATCCTGGGTAAATAGCTACATCTGATCACCCTAGTCAACATAGCTCAACGCAGATTACTATTAGAAAAGAATTGTCCAAACAAAAAATTAAACCACAGTTCAGAGTAGAATACAGTGTTTTATTTATAAAGTCACGCACTTGACCTAATTATGGGCCTAAAGGTGAACTGTGTAACTTTTCTGGACACCACATAAAACCTGCGCCGTCTCAGTTTCAAACCACTCATGCCAAGAGTTGACAAGACGATGTACTGTCAATGATGCAATGTGCTGATGCTTCCTCTGTACTGACAGTCACAGCTAACAGAGCACCTTCTCCTCCTCCTCCTCCTCCTCCAGCGCAGAGTGGGGGTAACCTGACCGAGGGGCCACCTGTGATAATAACTCCTCTCAAACTGATGACGAGGTGAGAAGACGAAGGTCGCTAACTGTTTATAATATGTAAGGGAAAATGCTAAGCTGTCCTTGGGCGGTGCTGTTCTACACTGATGGACTGTTGTGTCTGAACGGCTGAGAAGAAAAGCGCTCGCAGCCACGTGTTGGATATGAGTGGAAAAGTGGGGTTGATTGTTGAAAGTGGGTTGGCTGAGAGGTATAACTAGGGTTTTGATTTGGGGCAGGTGGTAATAAAATAATAAAATTGTGAAACGAGTGCGTAATTAAGGAAAATTGTGATGTAGAGACTAGGGATGGGCATTCGATGAAATTTTCTTAATCGATCGTCGAGATAATTAACGATAGATTATCGATTAATCATTAATGTTTTTATATTAAAATGATCATCATTATTATTACTATCTGCACTACCTAATCTGCATAAATAAATTCAACTTTACGACAAATAAACCGTAACCACTCTAGAGACACATCAGCCCGTTTATTATAATTGTGTTTAATTCAGTTTTGCACAACTCTCACAGAAGCAAAACGTAAAACCGCATCGTTAATTTGCATAAACTAAGCGAAGATAAAACTACAGCTCTTGTGAAGCTGATGCGGTCAACTTCTGTCGGATTAAAAGACATGATTCAGTGGAATACAGGTTAGTGTGACCATATTTGCGTTTGTCAAAACCAGAACACCGTACGGGGGGAGGGAGGTGGGGACTCGTCTTTGACATTGCGCGACTCTCACCTGGTAAAGCTTTTTTCCACTGGACACCGAAACATATGTGCTGCTTTGTTCACTGTGCACATGGACTCACACTTGTCCCGACCGGAACGGAAAGCGTGGAATTTCTTGTACAAGTCATCGTTACGTACATACGCATATGCACTTCGGTACGTTGCAGGCGGACTGACTGTTTGTGTTTGCTCGCTCCTTCTGAGTGCAGAGAGCTACTTGTACGGACCCCCGTTTGGTCACGCTACGCACAGCAACCTGCATTCCGTTTGTCGATTAAAATTTACGTAATCGATGAAATTCTTAATGATCAATTATCGATTAATCGACTAATCATGCCCATCCCTAGTAGAGACCATTCATGACTAACATGTGAGTCAGTGTAGTTGCATTTTCTTTGCATTTTGTTCATTTTTAAGCCACTTTTCTGTATTTTCGCTAAACAAATAACAATTTATGCTTCTCTTTACTGTTGGCAGAGATCAAATTGGTCAAAAATATTGACATTTGGGACATTTCTTGTGTAAAACTGGGACAAATCACTGGTTTTGGATAAATCTGCTGGGACAGAGGACACACGGCTCAAAACTGGGACTGTTCCGGGTAAATAGGGACTCTAAGTATAGCATAGTAAACAGCATTGAAGTACATGCTAAGGAACGATGCTGTGGATTAACGGAAAGCATTCAGCTCTAGTCAAATGAAGCTCACTGAGGCTTGCAGTTATAAGCCAAGATCCATATTCTGATTATGATATGTAGTGATTTAAAGATGTGACTTTTCTACCTGCCTGCTTGTCTCCATGACTGGGCCTGGTGGCGTCATAGGCAAAGCAATAATATCACCATGGAGACAAGCAGGTGGCGGACCTTCCATGGGACTCCCGAAATTCTCTGTATTTTGTCTGAGAGTGGGCCTTAGCACTATATGTCAATCAAGAGCCAAGTCATGGTTTTGCAAGTCTCAAGTAAGGCTCAAGTCTTTGACCTCAAGTCAGAGTCAAGTCCCAAGTCAAATACAGGCAAGTCCAAGTCAAGTCTCTTGTGTCACTGACCCATAAGTCCAAGTCAAGTCCAAGTCATATGCTTTGAGTTTCAAGTCATTTCAAGTCTTTAAAGCAAAATACTAAATATAGCTCTGTTTTTTGCAATTTGACTTTGAAACTAAATTGTACTTATAAAAATATACAATGACTTTTTATGAGTATTTATAGAAGAGTTGTAGAAATGCAAATTTTTCTTTTTTAACTGTCTTGACAAGGTCTAGTGTGAATCATTACAGGTCAGAATAGAAAGAATTCAGATTTTAAAGTGCTAAATAACAGTTATTTTGTCACGAGGGATCATGTTCTCTGTTGTTCCATCTGTGTTGTACTGTATATTACTGTTGTACATTTGAGGTACCACATCACAGTACTTCAGTTTCATCCAAAGTAACAAACAGAGAAACAGGAGGGACATGTTCCAGTTTGATCCTATAAAATTAATCACTGTAAAGAGAAAAGTATTTTCTAATAACATATTTTTTTAGAAGAAGCATCATGTTTTCTCAGGTCACAAGGCTCAAGTCGAAGTCGAGTCCCAAGTCTATCAAATCAAGCCTCAAGTCCTAACAATAGTGACTCAAGTCTGACTCGAGTCCCCACCTCTGATCAAAGCTAAGTAACATACGTGCTGTGTGCTGTGTTTTCCAGAGAGTTGATGAGAGAGATGTTCAGCAATTAATGTTCAGTGACATTAACAGTATTTTTGTGATGCCTTTAATACAGTTAACTAATGCCTTTATTTTTTATAGGCTAATTTTATTTTGTTTAAAAATGACAGTTCAATTTTGTCAAGGTTAGCGATCCCAAACCCTGAATTTACCTGTTTCTAAACGTAACCCTAACCTTAAAGGTGAATTGTGTAACATTTCTTGTGGAGGGTCCATCACCTGTTTGTTTCTATGGACATGTCATTGCTCTGCCTGGAATGTTCCACAATATGATATTAAACAAGATTTCTTTACATTTATTCAATTAGAGGTGGTTTTATAGCTCAAAATTACCCAGAAAAACAGGCATTCTGACTGTGAGCAGGGTGACCTGTAACTTGGTCTAATTTGGTCTCCATGAAGACAGAAAGGTTAAATGTCATACTGTGAAACATTCCACACAAAGCAATAACTAATAATAATTTTCATGGCTAAAAGCATTTGACTGACCCTCCACCAGGAACGTTACACAATGCACTTTTAACCGGAGTGTGAAAAAATATATCTGACAAAATCAACAATTAAGAGAATCAGCACTAACACAAAATGACTGTTGCTTGGTTATACCTTTGTTTGGAGGAAATGGTGCCTCTGATGCATCAACAGAAAGTAAAAGAAAAGCTGGATTTGTTTTTGTTATAATTTTAGGTCTAAATTTGTTTTGTCTTGTAAATAAAAAACAAAACACCAGAATCATGTAGAGTGGGGTAATATGAACATTTTAGACCAAAATGAGCAGCAGTTACAGAGAGAGGAGCCATAATATCCCAGTGTAAGTCAATGGCAGCCAGAGTCAGAAGGAGCCAGAAGCGTTAGCTCTGTCCATTTATATATACAGTCTATGGTTTAAGCGTATAGAGCTATAATTTAAAACAGTGTCATAGTAGAACAGAGACTATTATGCTACGTAGAATGAGTCTGGTCACTACATCTTCTGTTACATCTCCATCAAGAACCAACACTATTTATTTGTTATAAATTATCATAAAAATATTAGCCTGATTCATCAGCCAGTTTTACTTCCTGGAAACCGTCTGACCTCGCAGCATTAGGATTCGTTCGCTCAACAGTAGAAGGGTACTTTTTTATTTAACCAATCGCTGCTATTTGGTCGTGACATATGTAATGCGCCAAATCCTGTCGGACGAAAGGCAATAACGTTTTTCTCCTTGATAAAATTCACCAAACATTCTCTTTATTCAGCTTTAAATCCTCGATCTCGGGATTCATTGCCAACACAGAATGTATGGCTTCGTCTACATCCATCTCTTTACTGTTTACTGTTGTGCTGTACCACAAAAGGGACCCAGACAGGCGCTTGAGTTTGACGTCATGGCTTCACAGCTCTTTGCTGATTGGCGGGTGAACGGTCTACGGTTCTTGCAAACTGTCTAGTGTATTCTGATTCCTGACCTAGTCGCTGCAGAGAAATGAAATTGAGGGGAGGCACTAGGTGGCACTGGCCTGGCTAATCAAAATCTTCTCTTG